AATATTTAATAGAGTGAATTTTTAAATTTTAAATTAAAATTTTAATTTTTAAATATATGTTAAAACTCTAATTTTTTTAAAAATCATAACTGATATGCACTAACTTATAAATATAATACGTAAATTTTATATATAAATACATTTATCTAATATCTTAATATCTATGTTTTCACCTCTCAATTTTTGGTAGAAAAGGACAACCCCTAAGTTTTTAATTGATAAATCAGGATGTTTTAGATAATTAAAATATTTAAAATTATTATAAAAAATTTGAATATTCTTAGTGGATTAATGCATGAAGAAAATGTTTTATGAATATTTAAACAAATTTTACATACAACCTGTGTGAGGGCTTGCATCCCAGGATTGCAGGAAGAAAAAAAAATCTTTATTTCGGTCCAACTTCATTTTAAGATTAGTAATACCATTGAAATGCTTTTTGCTTTCACTTTATATCATAAGTTTTAAGAAGAGAACTCCCAGAGTTACAAGAGAGAAAGAAGTCTTAATATTTTCTTTTCTCAAATGATAAATAGACATTTTTTTTTATTAAGATTTGGATTGTCCCGCTAGTACAAGCTGTCAGACAATTTAGGACTAATTCTTGCTGAGTTATTTTAAGGGTGCTATAATTATTTGTAATTTGTAATTTTGTATAATATGACTCAAAAATTTAAATTAATATGTTACCTGAGATTATATATAAAAATTATTTTAAAAAAAACATTATACTTGTTGCATTCTAGCATAAATGAAGAGACTGTTTTTTAAGAGAAAGAAGGATTTGTACTGAGAAAGGAAAATAGAATGATAGAAGATGTTTAGGGTCTCAATTTCAAATAATGGCATGGTTGGATGGAGAAAGGTTTAGAAAAGAAGGATTATTTATAAATTAATTTAAAAGGACAGGAAAGTATGGGGTAAATACTCATCATATTCACTACAATTCTCACCTTTATTAGGAAATTGAGAGACCTCTAATTAATAATCCGTTTAGTTTAAGAGAAACAAATGTTAAGGAAATGTGTTTTTTTAACCAATTAAATTAAGTTATTAAACTAAAAATATGATATAATTTATTAAAATAACTTGATCTCTTTTACTCTCAAACCAAGTAAACTTTAAAATTTTACGTGCTAATTAACTCTGAATAAGACTTTCAAATTCCATGCATGCAGTGACTTGCATTCAACTATGGTTATGTTTGGTGAGAATAAACACATAATAAAATAGGTGGAGAGTCACATTTTTCAATAATGTCCAAAAGTTTTAGAACTCTTCATGTTAAAGATTTAGTTTGATAGTACTACCCTATAGTTGCAATGGTTGTAGTTGTAGGTTTTTTGAGTCCTTAAACATCTCAAAAATAGATAAAATATATATTTCAATAAACATTTTATATATTTTTAAAATAATAAAAAGACAAAAATTAAAAATTATAACACCAAAAAACATTGTTAAACAAAACATCTTCTTATTGTGACTACATGAGATATGGTACTCAATTGTATTGATAGGGATCGCTACACCTCTTGTCATTTTTACCCTAGGTATACTATTTGGAAGATCAAATAGTAGGTCATAGACTAGAGCAAACAAACCATGCTACATGATAACTCTCTTTAACATTATCAATAAAAGAAAAATCAACTCACTTGTCCACCAACTAGGAAACTCAATCCTGAACTTTGGCCAAAGTGACAAGCAACAGAGAGAAAATTCATCTATTACAAGATAAAGGGTTTTTAGTGATAAAATTTTGTAATGAATTTTGAAAATTGTCACTATAATTAAAGTTTTGGGACTTAAGTTAAAATATTTTAACAGTTTAAAGACTATATAAAACAATAGTAAAAGTTATAATCCAAAGCCATAAAAGAATAAATTAAAAGTTTTAGAATCAAAGTGTTTATAAAGTAAAAGATAAAGGATGTAATCTACAATTTTACCATTGAAGAAAGTGCGTAAAGAAACTGAAACGCGACACGTGTCGCACCACCTTGGTAATGGTAGTTATCAACCCCGTTATACGATTAGGAAATGATTTTTATATAATTTTTTTTTAATTTTTGTATAACTTAATGTATAATTTAAATGATTAATTTTTTTAATTTAGGTAAAATTTATAATATTAAATATATTTATTTATTTAATAATATATAAAAATTATATAAAAAATAATATAAAAAATTATTTCTAAAACACTACCGGCAAAGAATTTGCCTCTATCCGTCTATCGTCAAATTCAAAGCACAAAGTGTCGCCACCTCACGCCTGCATTGTGACATCGATACGCAACCCTATGTTTGGGTACCGGAGTGGAGAGAAGGAGAGGAGGGGAAGGGAGTTACATTTTTTAAGGTTTTTTTTTTAATATTTTTTTATATAAATTAATAAATTAATTAAAAGAAAAATGATAGAAAAGTAATTTTTTTCTTTTTCTTTTTAAATTTTTTTAATAATTAACTAAATAATTTTTTTCTCTTTTTTTAAAAACCAAATATACTTATAAGTAATTTTCTACAAATATATTTAAAATTCTCTATCTTTACACAGGTTGTCCTTCTTTTCTAATAGGTTTTTTTTTTTTTTTTTTGTTTATATCAATACTTTGTCAATCTTAAAATAATTATTTATTTTATGATTTTAAATTTATTTTAAAATTGATTATTATCTTTTATTTTTTAAGATAAATACATATTTTTTTATATTTTAATTTTATCATTATTTATTCTCTTTAATTAATCATTAATCAACTAATCACAAAACCTCTCTCATTATCTTTTATTTTTTTTTTAAGTTATTATAAATTGTCAACGACTTAAATAACTTAATGATTATTTTCTTTTACTGAAAGTAAAAAATTTTAAATTCGAGTTATATGACATACGTGTGAAGTGAGATAAAATATGAGAGATGATTGCTTTTCATTGTGCAATCAAGATAAAAAAAATTATTATAAATAAATATAAATATT